GTCCTCCACTGTGCTGCACGGCTCCCTTGACAATTGCTTCATTATTCATAGCGCTGTCCTCTTCTCTCTTTCCCTCGATGAATCATCCTAAACTATAATCCCGAGGGACGCTCTCTGAACTGAAGAAGATTCATACCCCCCTTACGCTTTTATTCAGCTGCCTGTCTTTTGATTAAACATGTTCGTAGCAGTGACGTGTCAGTTAGCAGCCACTGAAACTGACCTTAAAATAAATTGCCGATGGTGGCGGAGGAAATCATGGCATGAGGAAACTTGACCGAGATGCTGTGTCTCTCAAAACGACAGCTCTTCTTCTTAACGCCGTTTTCAACAGGAAGTTGATTTGTTGGTTTTTTTCTGAAAACAACTCTTAATAGATCTATACTACCTTCTCAAGTAATTTATCATTTAAAAATGTTTAACTGTTTTTTTAGCTAGTAAGAAAGACTTTAAAAATACATTTATATAATTATAACATTATAATTATTATAGGTTATTACACCCTATTTATTATTAAATGATTATTAATAATACTTGTCTATATAAATTAGAGATGTGTAAATGGTAAATAAGTCTGCATTTACTATCTTTACATCCTAGTTTGAATACTATGGTCAAGAGTTCTCCTCCATTATCTGAGATTCTTTAGAGACCTCATATATAACAGATCTTTCCCTTATGGCAGATAATAAAAATCATCGCCCCGTTGTGTGCACAGATAAATGGTCTCTGCTGTTGGGTCCTGAACTTACACTTACAGCACATTTTACAGCAGCTGCACCATTAATATCTCCTAGTTGAGTGATAGTATTTCTGAACCTCACTTCTTCTGACATGACCTCATCTAATGCTGGGAAAACGTTTACAGCCAAACTGCTATGAATCCAGCTCTTTTTTTTTCATACACCAGCATTGTATGATAAGCACTGACAGATGCGCTGAAATCAAAGTGAATAAAGAAAGATGGAGTAACAAATATAAAGGAACAAGACAATATTCCCATTTTGACTCACCTTGTCCCTTTTGTCCAGAAAAGAGAATGAGGTTGTTTCTCAAAGCGGAAACATTATTGGCAAAGGTGAGCTTCAGGTGGAATTCATAAAAATGACCCATACTGGGAATAGAAGGATAAGCCACATAGGATGAGTATCCAAATTCATCAAGTCCACTAAACCTGGGCCGAGTGATGTTGACAGCTGCAAAGAAATAGCAAAACAAAAAAAATTAAATATTCATTTAAGAAAAAATGTATTTAAACATATGCCTATAATAATAATAAAACATGTCAGGGCTATGACAACATTATGGTTAATGGTGACCTATCCTAAGGGTTGCATGTTCAATTCCAGCTACATTTACTATAATTATACTTGAGAAATGTATTGTAATAAAAAAAATGCAAAAAACACCTTTACTGAGGTGAAGTTCCCAGCAGCAGCTGTCTGAGAAGGAGACACAAGATGGCGATATTGCACTATTTATAGCGCTTGTCAAATTCTAAGCATTGTTATTTTCTGTGGGGGGAAAAAATGCTGCTGCTAACGATTATTATTGTAATTTTGTGCCATTTTACTCTGGGAACGGACATTGGTCATAACAGCGATATCTGCAGAAATCGGTCAGAATTTGTGAAATGGCTGTTACTTTGGACAATGCATTTCAGAGCTGGAAAATCTCACCATTTAATCACCTGGTCCATCAAGCATCGATCAGAAACATTTCAGCTTGGGTACATTAAGCTTTTACACTTTTTCTCCAGTGAAAAAAATGTGCTACATAAAGAGTTTTCTCCACCCCTCATTTTGTCTTTATGAACTGTGCAGTCTGTAAAGCCTCTCCGGAGGATTTCTCTGGGAACAGCATTGAAGTTCTTCCCTCTGCTCTTCCCTCCTTGAATTATTGATGCCTTTTGAAATTGCACATATATTACCTTGTCACGGTTTATTTGCACAGCGCCTAATGAAGGACTAGAATGCGTTTTTAGCAGGCATGGCTTGATGGGGCCAGCTGTATTTCTTAACTCGCAGTGTCATGTAATGGCTCTGTGATACGCTGCATTTGCTGAGTTACGTTTCTTGCTCCAAGTGAAATTCATTAATAAACCGGCAATTTATTAATCGGACATACTGAGTACTTTTTGAGAACGCCAATTACCATCCTAAGATAAACTGCAGTCCTGTGTAAGGATGTGGTTTGAGCTCATTTCCAAAGTCAAATAGGATTTCTGATAGTAGCCTTCAGAAGTAATCAGAATTGCATTAATTAGGCACAAAAAACTCTTGCTTTCCCTGCTTTATTTCTCACTAATGATAGGAACCACACTGTATATATTTTTTTATTCTTCTTTTAACTCAATTTTTTTCTGTCAATGTCCCATATGACAGGATAAAGATATGACCTCAATAACCATATAACTTTTCATGCAAAGGCACTGCAGAGCACAGGCTGCTTCTCTCTGCTGTGTTATTCTGCTGCTGTTGCTGGAGGTGAATAAAGGAACAAGAAAACAAAACCTCCGACTCGCTGGCAGTTTTTACAGGTGACATATCACCCATTTATTTCCATTCGTTCTAGTCAAAAACCATTTGTGTGTAAGGATTGTGCTGTAGTGAAATTCAATAGCTTTCCGTCAGCTGCGTTGGCTGGACCCGGAGATATTTAGCTTTTTTTGATTTCCTTCTTTTACCACTGACACACACAGATATACACGCAAAAATGAAATAAACAAAGACATACAAATAAAGATATGCACATGTGAGAAACTCCTCACAAAATCTGTTTGATCCTATACACTTCCCACAAGATGATTCTTTAATCTTTTGTCGTAGAGCCTGGTGCCGATGAAATGAAAATACAGGAAGTCACATGATGTGTGTGTTAAGGCAGTAAGGCGGTTTAGGACAGATGTGCTATTATGTTATGGGTCTATTTTAGGTGAGTGTGATGTTAACGGTGCGTCAGGGAACACAGTCTGTCCTCTAAACTCAACTGCCGCCTCAAGCTGCTTTCAGCAACACAAGCTCCCATGATCAATCGAAAGATCAATCTATCTGTCTGCCTGTGGATTCTGAATATACTTCTAGAAAAAAGCTAACTCTTTGATAATAAAGCTGCATTTATGCAAAGAATAGATTTTAAGTCGGTCAAAAAAATTTAATAAATAAATAAAATAAAATAAAATAAAAATGACAGTGCTGTTATTTTTAAATAAAACTATTAAAAATTATTGCTTTAATGGGGCCAACTTATTATTGGCAATTGAAGTAAAGCTGAAAAATATACATATTAGAAACTTAAATGAAAAGAAAATAAAAAATTTTGCCTTGGCAACTAACTGAAATAAGTTTTCATTTTAGTACTTCAACTTACAGTGAAATAAAAACAAAAAATGTGCACGACAGTGTTATTAAACAAAGTAAAAATTGTTATAGGTAATTGAAACAAAGCTGAATTAAAATAAATGATAAACATTAGATGAAAATGTAAAAAACCTTAAATAAGTTTTAAGAATTTAAGTTTTTGTAATTTTAGTACTTGTACTGAAAAAAAAAAAAAATCAAAGCTAAATAGAAACATAAAAAATAATAAAAATGAACATTATTAATAAAATGACAAACCTAAACTAAAAATAAAATGAGAAACTAAAATATAAAAACAAACATTAAAGTGTTAATAAATACTATCATAGTATTCAGATAATACCAATATAACACTGGTGCATGACACCCATTTTTCCAATATATTTCTTTTTCTTGAAAGTTAATTTAAGCAGCTACTTTGGATGTTACCACATAAATTACATTTGCCATGTTGCCTGGCAACTTAAAAAAAAATAAGATCATGCTCTTTGAATCTTATTTTCGGAGTAATCTATAAAAATACATTACTAAAAATGTATCTAAATGCAACACTAAATCGATACATAAAACGGACTCAAAACACCCTTCCTATAATTCCATTAGCCTAGGCCCATTTGAAGAAGTCCAGCACATCTAAAGTTGAGTGGCTGCCCAGAGGCAGCGAGGCCTTGGCTACTAATCAATACTGATTGATGTTATCTGCTGTTATCGGCCTTTAAATTCAAATGTCAGTGTGACACTGGGAGATTAGAACACTCTATTTGGCATCGGGCTCTTTGCTGTCTGACAGAGTGATGTCTGCTAGCCCTGCCCGGCGTGCTGTGCCAAGCGGTCTTCAAACCACGCCACCCAATTAGATTACAGCAAAATAGCAGCAGTTCTTTTCCCTCCAAGCGCCGTTGAGAAGATGAAGAGCCATCTGTGTAAGCAGATATCTGACTTTAGCTGACTTAACACTGCGAGGTAGAGCCGGGAAGATGAGTACATTAGTTACACGGCACTGTAGTGTGTCTTCACAGCTTTGTTATTTGAGACAATAAAACAAACCCAATTGCAGAGAGTACATTCTGTGACTACGCTTTGATAAATTAAGTTTCAGAGTCGCCTAATTTAAAGCACTTGGTGTGCTCATTATATGTGGATGCGTACTCTATTACCTGTAGATGCCTCGAAAGGTCAGAGGAATCGAGATGGCAGTGCAACGCAGACTGGCAGTTATCCACAAAACGTTCAGAGTTCAGTAACACTTTAGTGAGCTTGTAGCGAGCGTAGAGCACTTAGCTTCTCTAATTGGAACGGTATTTCAATGGCTTGCATCAGTTAAACAAAACCGCTGGGAATACATTTCAATCTACCACCTATGGGTCTAACCTCAAAGACGGAGGTGCTCGCAGGAGATGGAGGAAAACAAACCTCAGAATGCAACAAATATCAAACGAAACACCCTCTGGCCATGCCGGCTTCATTGTGTCTCCACGGATGCTGGTGTAAATCGCCGTCTGCGCACATACCTTGACGGGACCTACCCTCGTCGCAGAGGAGACCCCGCCTTCCGTAGGGGCAAAGACACGCCGTGTCTGGGGAACGCAGGTGGCGCCCCGCGCACACGGGTTTCGCTCGCAGGCGGTGAACTGGCACAGCTTACCGGAGTAGAGCGAAGGACACACGCAGATCCAGCTCTCCGCATCGCTGCACACAAGGAACCAAAAAACAGAGAGATCATTAGTACACCAATGAAATGTACCCGTACTGCATCATTACCTTCAGTGGAGTTTGCGTAGAAAGCATAAATTGGGAAGGGGCATTGGGGGGGTTGAGAGTGTCAAAAAAGCAGAGGGGAATACAAATGAGAATACAGAGCAGAAGTGATGGAAGTCGTACATCACTGGCCTGAACTCTAGACCAGCCTTGTCAGACAGACCAACATGAACTGATCTTGCAGTGCAAGACGAAGTAAAAGTGCATTTTCTATTCTTTTGCCAAGTAAAAACATTCTATACATAAAGAAATGAATAACACTTGATTTAAGATATGAATGTACAGTTGAATAAGATGAAGACTCGAAGTCAGTGATCTCTAAGGGGCTCAGTGAGAAGTTTAGAGAAGAAAAATCAATACATACAAAATCTGTAAAAACATGAAAAAATTTACAATGACAAATAAAAATAATTTCAATGCATAATGAAAAATATAAATATACAGAATTTCATTCTACTTTCTAAACAGTGGACAAAAATTGTGAGATTAATCACAAATATTTTTCACAGATAAGATGCAAAAAACATAAGTGTTATTTTAACAGAAAGTAATTGTTTTCCAGATAAAAATGTATATGAACGCACGCCCGCCCGCATTCACGCACGCACGCACACACATATGTATATATATAGCTTATACATATATTTATAGCTTTATACACTACTGTTCAAAAGTTTGGGGTCAGTGGGATTTTTCTTTTAATAAAAAAAGGATGCATTAAATTGATCAAAAGTGACAGTGAAGACATTTACATCATTACAAAAGATTTCAATTTCAAATAAATGCTGGTTTTTCTATTCATCATAGAATCCTGAAACATTTTTTTCTCAACTTCCCCAAAAAAATTAAGCAGCACAACCATTTTCAAAATTGATAATAAGAAGAAATCTTTCTTGCACACTAAATCAGTATATTACAATGATTTCTGAAGGATCATGAAGACTGGAGTAATGATGCTGAAAATTCAGCTTTGCCATCACAGGAATAAATTTCATTTTAAAATATGCTAGAGTTATTTTAAACTGTAATTGTATTTCACAATATTACTGATTTTGATCAAAGAAATGCAGTTTTAGTGAGAATAAAAAACTTAAAAAATGTTAAAATCTCACTGACCCAAACACCTTTGAATAGAGGTGTACATGAAAATATTTTGCAGGTTTGTGGTCTTTTATTTTTAACATGGATTGAATTGCCCATGTTTTGAGGTCACATGACCAGTCATGTCATGCTGTTACTAAAAACAACAACTTCATACAGTGCTTTCAGACAGTGCTCCAGGCGATTTACCCAGGATAAACATCTAGACAAAATACCTCTATACAGTACATACATTATGCATACACAACATTATGTTTGGTGGAATCTCCATTTTAGGAAAGTTATAATATGAGGCAAGGAAAAAGACTAAAATGAAAAAAGCGAAAATATATCCAAGACCACTGGGACGAAGAAGACTCAGCATAGATAAACAAAAACATATTGAGTGCACCTTTAAAAATCCCAGGTTTATTTAAATAAGAATATAACTGGGCCTGAAGGCCATCTGCAAATGTAGACTCACATTCTGCTGATGTTGATCTAGCCTCACTGTAAGCGAATGATTAGAAATGCTCGAGCTAACGGCTGACTGCCGAGGTGCAATTCCGCAAACGGAACTTTTATAATTCCAGGCTTTATCCCCAAGCGAGAGGTAGAGGGTGGGCCAGCATGATAAGCAATATTCAGACAAGAACTTCATAAGCTGCCGGAAGACGCAGACGGTTTTCAAAGGTATAATATCAGATACAGGAAGGCATTGGAGGAGTTTCAAATCTATAAATTAATAATGTGTTTTGAGCTGCAGCACAGCTGAAATGAAATATTTACATTCTGTCACTAGGATTTCGAACCAGTGCAAGTGACTGATACATACACACACACACACACACAACAATACAGAATATTCCTAAAACCTGGGCATGAAAAGATTTGAATGAGGACTATCTATGCAAGGAGAATTTGAATCTGCTCACATTTTCAAATAAAATCACTGGTACGCATACAAATGTTACAAAAATAATTGCACTTATGCAAACAAAACTGGATAGGACAACAAGCAACCTTCCCACTCTGTAAGACACTAATCAAGTGACCTCGTTTGTGCACAAGCACTCTTTGCACCGTACCCAGGGAAAGACAGCGGATGGTTTGTCACTGCCTTTCTGGACAGCAGGGGGTAATGCCGCGGCAGACTGCGAGATTATTGCCCCGCATTATGTAGAACATGCAAACACATCTGTTTCTGTGACTGATTGCCCTTCACCAGCCATGCGAGCTCAGACTGACGCCGGGAACATTCAGGTGTCTGCTGCATATGGCGAGCTCCGTACGCAGCCAACTGTGTATGATCACAGGAGATGTGTTTACCACTCTTCAAAGAGAGCCTTGACATTGCAGTGACATATTCTGTATTTTGATCATGACCCTATTATTTTAAAAAGAAAAAAGGAAATAGACTCGAAATCAAAGTTGGAGTTTTGTCGCTTTTAGCCTATTGACTCTGAAGCCATCTATATATAATAAATAAATAAATAAATAAAACTTCAGCAGATATATACGTTTACATATTTAATGTTCTCTGTAAACATCCACACAATTCACTTTTTAATTAACAGCCTTTCTCTTCTGGAAGAATGTACATATATATTACTTGTACACACACACACACACACAGACAGACAGACAGACAGACAGACA